AAAGCAGCATTCATAATCTTCCCATTTGTAATCTCCGCCGTTGGCTTATCAGTGCGGAGATTAGGCATGTTTTACATCAATAAATTTGCATTTAAAATGCACTCAGAGAGCAGATATGAAAAGGTTGTGGTTGGTAAACCTGTTGTTAAGTGGATTTCGTATAGCCACTCCGATGGGAAACTGGCTGGAAATCGCATAATTCATTGTTAAAGTCTGGCGATAAGCTGACAAATGTATTTATGCAGCATTTATCTGAAACATGGCAAACCATATCGAAGCACAGATATATGTAGAGTGTATAAACATTTTTTCAGCTGCGGCCGTCAATTAGAGTAAATTATTTGTATCCGTCATAGAGCTCGCCGCATTTATCAGATTGCTTTGCAGCACTTGGGCCCCGCCTTCCGCCTGCCGCCGCCCATAACCACAAGCAACTTAGGCTGTCGACTATCACAACGCCAGTGAGTCGAGTATATGATTAGATTAACCAGCGCACAGCTCGAGCAGTTCCATTTCAACAGTTGAGCGAAGCACACGTTCCTCACTTCGTCAATATGAGCACCGAGCAGTGGGAATCCAATGAGGAAATACAATACTTTCGCGACTATTTGCGTATAGCGAGCGTTCATCCCAATCCCAACTATGGTGTGCATTAAAATTTTGTGTCAATGTAAATTTAATCCGCTTAATTACATTTAAAAAAATTGTATTTTAATTTGCTCAGCACCTTGTTTGGAGTTCTTGAGGCAACAGGCCGAACAGCTGCAACTGCCGCTGGCTGTTCATTATCCATTCGATAGTGACAATCCCGTTGTGGTGCTCACCTGGCAGGGCCTAAGGCCCGAGCTGCCCGCCCTTTTGCTCAACTCGCACATGGATGTGGTGCCAGTGTTCGCCGAGAACTGGACCCATCCGCCCTTTGGCGCCGACATCGATGCAGAGGGTCGAATCTTTGCCCGCGGCACCCAGGACATGAAGTGCGTGGGCATGCAATATCTGGCAGCGATTCGGGCACTGAAACGCAATGGAGTCAGGCTCAAGCGCACAATACACATCTCATTTGTGGCAGGTAAATATATGATTATATAATATATATTTAATATACATATAAAAATATAGAAAATATGATAGATAATACTCAAACAATGATAATATAATATAGAATATTCTATATATAATCTAACAATCATGGAGTGCATATCAAAAACTATCCATTTTCTTTGAAAAAGTGTTTAGTTTTTATTCTTAAATGCCAGTTCTACTTGGAAATGTAACACAATTAATAGAAGAATAAAATTGTCTGATTCTTCAGAGAAAGTTGTTCGTCAAAATATTGAAATTAATCTGATATTATTCAGAATAATATAATTCAGCTGATCAGTTAAAAAGCTAACAGAGTCACATATTATTTAATATTATTCCATATAAAGTATTTTCTCTCTTCATGAATG